GGACAACCATCTCTGCAGCACTCCACCAATCAGCCCTTTATGATAGAGTGGCCAGATGGAAGCCACTCCTCAGTAAAAGGGACATGACAGCCCGCTTGGAGTTTGGCAAAAGGACTCTCAGACCATGAGGAACAAGATTCTCTGTTCTGATGAAACCAAGATGGAACTCTTTGCCTGAATGCCAAGCGTCACGTCTGGAGGAAACCTGGTGGTGAAGCATGGTGGTGGCAGCATCATGCTGTGGGGATGTTTTTCAGCAGGAGGGACTGGGAGACTAGTCATGATCGAGGGAAACACATTCCGAAAGCACTGTAAGCTAATACATGACTAGAATGAAGCAATTAGTGTAAGTGTAAATACTGCCTCCTAGTGGAGAGAAATAGAGAATGTGTTAAAACAGAAAATAATACTACGTTTTTAGTCCCATCCTTCAGCTCCGCTCAACCCCTCCCATCTAGCTCTGAACACCATCCAGTTTTGATTTATATTTGCCATATATTTTTCAACTGTGATGTTTCACAAAAGTTCTGAACCTTTCTATTCTCATATTCTAAATTAAAGATAAACATTTTTGCTAAGAGTATTATATTATTAATCGATTGACTGACTTTTAAATCACCCAGCATTGCTATTTGCAGTTAGCTCCAGGTAAATGTTGCAATTCTTCAGCCATTCCTGAACTTGCAACAAAAAACAAGCTACATATGGACAGTCCCAAAACAAATGATCTAATGATTATTTCTCTCCGCAGCAAAATCTGCAGAGCTGGGATGGTTGTATCCCCCATACAGTGTATATATATAACATTCTAATGGTTGCAATAATTTTGTATAATAATTTAAATAGAAAAATTTTGAATCTAGCGTTGTTTTGTGTATCAGTTCCTAAACCATGTGCCATGGAATCAGTACATTGAAAATCTCTTCCCAACTATTTTGCAATCTATATGGCACAGCTGTCAATTTTTTGGTCCTTAAATGAAACTGGTATACTTTTTGACAAGTCCGGGGTTGATGAGTGAAGAGCGTTTGCCAGCAGCAGGTTCGGCAGCAGCTAGAAGGCCGGCGACGCCGAACGCCTGAGCTGGACAGGTGGGGGAGCCAAAGCGAAGGCTGGTGTGACAGACAAGTTCCTTACGTTCGCCCCCTTCCACTTGCCTCTTACATTTTTGCGGTAATGCTGCATTTACATTTATGTTCAGTAAATTCATAATGTTGTGTCTTATATCATTAACACTTAGCTCTAAGTATAAGCAAGTTCAAGCAAATAAGCTGCGATGAGGCCTATTCGTTCAGCACTTTTGAAATTGACAGCGACAGAAATTCAGATGTTATTTCAGATAAATTCAGCAAGATGTTGAGGCCTTAACTTTACTCTTCTTTAAGTCATCGTACAGAGAGAGAGAGAGACGCAGACTCAGCAGTTGGCCTATTTTATTATGTGGTCTTAAAAGGAAGGAAAATACAATCATGAGGATCCACTTTTATAGACATATACCGACACAGACAGAGCATTGCACAAACAAAACAACCCTTGCAATATGAACTGGAATTACATGGGTCTATTACTGAACTTTTTGTTGAACAAAAATATTTAAATGGGAAGAGACTCTCACTGGCAAACATGGTTACAGACCCAACAACATTATATAGTATCCCCTCCTTGTGGAGAAAAGCACATGAGCTAATTATAATACACAAAGTAAGCAAAACAATTAAATGCATCATTCTAACATTGCCTAAAATGATGAATAGGATACTAATGAGATAGTATATAAGCAATAAAACATTTGAGATGGCATAAGGGAACGATGAACGGGAAGAGCAAGCTGTAATTTCGATTAAGACATGAGCGAGCTGAGACCGACGTAGCCTATATACCTATTCGTTCAGCACTTTTGAAATGGACAGCGACAGAATTACAGTATTCTCCCTGTACACCAAGTCAGAACCATAGGACAAATAACGGGGGCATATAAGCAGACAATGAAAGCTCTTACAATATTTGATGATGATATTTCTCTAAAACAGGCTATAGGCATCATGTGCACCAACAAGTCAGAACAGTAGGCTAAGATCTGAGGGGGAGTGTTGCACCCAAATTCTTAGGGTGCAACACAAAGGCTACTAACAGCTTACTACACAACATACACTGAGGGTTACTTTCTTAGCTACAGTATGCATATCTCCCTGGCATATTACACCACTTATGCAGCAGCATACGAGACATATTTTTTGGCGCAGCGGTCCTTCTTGTGGGCAAACTTCTCAATTACTTTGTCATCAAAGTCTGGCATTCCCTGGATGAACTTGAAGTCATGCTGGATTGACAGCATGGCCAATGCATTCAACCTTTTCTGGCCCATGGTGTTGCAAGCATGTGAAGGTTTTTATCCTTTTAAGGGTGTTCGTTCTGCATCGTGCTTGATGTAGGAAACCCTTAAAGGGGTTGGTCATCATAATAATAATATAATATAATATGCCATTTAGCAGACGCTTTTATCCAAAGCGACTTACAGTCATGTGTGCATACATTTTTACATATGGGTGGTCCCGGGGATCGAACCCACTACCCTGGCGTTACAAGCGCCATGCTCTACCAATTGAGCTACAGAGGACTTTCAAGCCTGTAATCTCCTCCATGCATGGTCTCAAAAATACACCTGAAAATGCCTGGGCAGGAGTCGGCCGACTCGTCTTGGCCCTGCAGTGCTATAAATCTGGCAAGCACATTCCTATTCTCCTCCGTTTGTTGGTTGTGAAGGTCACAGTTTGTCTATATGCGGGGTCTAGCTGCGCCCCAATGTTTGATTTCCCCAGTAATCCCAGTTAAACAGTGTTGTCTACATGTGATGCACAATTCTCATGTTTTGAGACCCTTTCAGACAGATGTTTTAAATCCCTAAACCCAGACATGGACCACACCCTCTCCACCGAATAGCCGGCAGGGGAAGAAAAATATTGATTGCTTTGTGATGCTTGCAGTTAGCCACTGCTTCCTTTCAAATCACTCATTGTTAAATTTGCGATTTCCGACTTCTTGTGTAATGTTTATGTTCAATGGCCAATGAGCACCGATAGATTTTATCTCTGATTTCTCTTCATATGACAAGGATTGAATAGGATTTGCCAGTAGATTGTCGAGGTGATTCATGATGATGACTGCTTATCTATCTAGCTAGCTAAGATTTTAAAGTATGATGTTCAAGTGATCAGTCCAATCAAAGCTACGTGATTTGACATTTTATCTGTGCCAATGACCTTGAGCCTTCTTGGACGGACACTTCTACTGTAAATCTATGGCAGTAGAAGTGAACGGGGCATGAACTGCCTAGCTCTCCCATAGATTCTGCTGTGATGTAGTGTTCCCATGGGTGACAGAACCCTGAGCCAATCATGGCGCAACCAGAGAAGATTAACAATGCCTACGCTCTGTGCTTTTGCTGGCTGCCACTCCACCACAGAAAGCACTGAGCTAGGCTGAAACAGCTGCATTTGGGAGCTGCCTTACTCAAATAAAGAGACCAAGTTTGTATGCTGCTTTATTAAATCAAGGATATTTTTTTCACATTGTTTGCTAAATGGATATCTGACACAAATTAATGCCAGAATTACAGGTGGGGCTCAAAAAAGGTGGGGCTCTAAATGACGACTGGCCACTGGCTACAGAACATAAGCAAATAATTATCTAGCTAGCAGAACACAGACATGTATGGCGAGTATGCATGTTACAGCATTAGCATGTCACCAAGAACACCAGCGTATACAAGGAAATGCAACCGCATGGTATCGAACGACCAACAGCAGTAGAGGCAGCAGAGAATGAATGAGTAAACTGATCACCTTAAATAGGTCTCCATAATAAGGTAGAAAGTGTTTGTAGAATATGATTGGTGCGATTTCAGCTGATGCATCACTGGAGCCAATACTTGGGTTCCCTGTCTGACCCTGCTGCGCTTAATTTGTGGTAGATGATACACAACTCAAGTGTAGGCTACCCTAGACCGTCTGACAAAGAGAAAACCATAGTCGTCAATTCAAAATTTACATAAATAGGGACCATTTTAAAATATCCTGTATGAAGATCGGGTTAACCCTGCAGTCATGTCACAATGTGACATGAATGGTAAAAAACTAAAGGAAACTGCAAAACTAACCATTTCTGCAAGTCTAACCTTTTTTCTGGGAAAGAGAACTGCATATGAAAATATGCTTATGAAATAAAATATATTCCACTTTATTCCTCTTCTTAGTATTTGAGTGAGCATGTAACATTCAAGTATGAATTAGAATTTGTTGATTAACTATTTGATAAACACTGTGCAAAGCCATGTCCCATTCAAAAAACACTCTCACTCACTGCAGGCATACTGTAGATGCTAGTGCTAAAAAGCATCTCTTTTTTTAAGGGACTTTATTTCTCTGAGAATGTGTGGCATGAATATAATACAACAACTACAATACACATTTGAAAATACAATCTTACAAGCAGAGGAGCATATCATCCATTCTATTTCCTATACATGTGATATCTAGCTAACTCATAGTAGGCTGGGGACAAAACCTTAGAAGAGAGGGTCAGGGTCTATGCTATGTTATGAATGTGAACAAGAGCGGTATAACTATCCTAAAGACATGGTGTCATTGGGTCATCTAGTTCAGGGATTGTCAAAGTAATTTTAAAAAATTGTTTATGTTTAACGTTCCTTCCCAGGGCCTGAGACTTAGTTCGTCTGGCCATGCACTGCGAAGTCATAGTAAAACTCCTTGTATACTATTTTTATCTCACTCGAGTTGTGTTCTAATTATTAGGGGGTCCCTGATGAATTTGCTATCACAAAAGGGACCCCTATTCAAAATAAAGACAGCCATGTGATACGTTACAGAAGGTAAGTTGTACAGTAATCTTGAGATAGAGTGAAGTTCCTGATTTGAGGCTCTAGCTAGTCTGCCTGGTTTGTAACGAGGTTCCCATTGAATATTTTAGTTAAATCAGAGGGACTATTTTCTGGGAGCTGTTCTGCTGCTAAGTGACCTCCTCTTCCTGGCGGCGCCCACTGGCCGGATCTTCATCTCAGTGAAATCAAGAGACATCAGGTGGCCCTTCCATGGCTCCCAGTTCACACCCTGGTAGAGGTTAGAGAGAGACAGGACAACACATTGGATTACACAGTCAGGCAGTTTTTCATTCTGCTTCAGTCTTTGATAAGCCTACACTCTTAGGAGAAAAAAGGTGTTATCTAGAACCTAAAAGGGTTCTTCGGCTGTTTCAATAGGAGAACCCTTTGAAGAACCCTTTTTGGTTCCAGGTAGAACCCTTTTGAGTTCCATGTAGAACCCTTGGGTTCTATATGGAACCCAAAATAGTTCTACCTGGAACCAAAAAGGGTTCTACCTGGAACCAAAAAGGGTTCTCCTATGGGTACAGCTGAAGAACCGTTTTGGAACCCTTTTTTCTAAGAGTGTACGCCAAGACAGGCACAAACTTATTGAAAATGTTCTAGGGATAGTATAAATCCACCCCCCGGTAAAGAGAGGCACAGCCACACATTAGATTAGCCAGTCAGGCAGTTGTTTCATGATACTGAATGACACATGCTGATGAGCATTTCAGCAAATATCTCAACTCTATCAACATTAGGTAAACGGGTGGATTTATCTACTTTGGAAACTTCTATTAACTCTGTTGGTTTTGCCTACACCAAGACGGACGTAAAATTATTAAACATGTTATTAAGAGAAACATGGTATAATGTGACAGGACAAAACTATACCCTCCAATTTTCTCCCAACATTCTTCTTTGCAGAGACACACAAACAGTTCTTGTGAGACAACAACAGTTCTAGTTAGACTTTCTATGAATGAAAGTTATCTATTAGCCCCTGCTATTTATAAGGCTTTTTGAGAAAAAAGGAGTTGATAGATCTAGGACATAGCCATTTCAAACTAAGATTGGAAAGCCCCTACAGGACGCTCATGTGCAACTCCCATAGATTCTGTATTATTCTATTACCGCCATCTGCTGGTACAATCTCCCACTACACCCAGAAAACTAAAGAGCACACTTCAAGTTTCAAGTTTTAATGTACAGTGAAATGCCTTTCTTGCTAGCTCTAAACCCAACAATGCAGTAATCAATATCAATGTAGTACTACAAAACAATAACAGACAATAAATAAAAATAAGAAATAAGAAGAACACTTCTTACCATGCTGTGTCGGTTGTCTCCGAATTTGCCGTTCAGGTTGGCAAGGTGACAGTTCTTGTACCACCAAGCACCACGATGAGTAAGGGCGCAGTTACCAAGAGCAATGTCATTGTCATTGTCAACAGTAGAGAAAGGGCGACCTTGATGGTAGTTCATGGCATCACCTGGAAAACAATCATATACCAGATTCACAGAATTATTGTATGCAATCCAAGTCAGAGAAGGCCAGTGGTAAAAGGCCCCTAAACGGCAGGTAGACTTCAAACTGGCTGCTTTTTTGTCTTTTTAGCAAACCATTGTAAAAATGGTATTCAAGGTATTGTGTGATAATAGGTATGTGTGTGGGTTGGAGTGTGAATGTCTAGAGCATTTCTGCATGTATTCTTTAACAAATTGTTTGAAAGATGCAAAGAGTTGGTCCACCTGCTGTTCCTCTGTATTTGCCAATGGTCAGCTTGAACTTCTGCTTTGCCGGGGCTATCTTGAAGTTGTCATAGACAGCATAGGCCTTCTCTGAACCCACACCCAGGTCCACTCGCAGCTCATACTGGGTGGGAGTATTGGTCAGCTCATATATATTGTCCAGACCTATGGGTTAGAGTAACAGAATTGTGAGGGCTTATTACATTTACATCATCATCATCATCATCATCATCATCATCATGGTTGTCATCATCATCATCATCATCGTCGTGGTTGTCATCATCATCATCATCATCATCAACAACATCAGCATCATCAATTTCAATTCCATGAGAGGAACTCCTAGGGACATAACAGTCCTATTTAGATACAAGAGATTTAAAGGATGCCTATCCAGTACTAACCGAGCCAGAACTCATCGGTCATGTTCCCAAAGCCGGCCATGTACGGTCTCCAGCGCTTCATGAAGTCCATCTGTCCATTGTTGCGTCTTTGTAACACCTGGGGAGTGATATACTGTATATCTCAGTCTTTGCTCACACACAAAGTTGATTGACAGTTTATATTAATGAGAGTAATGGTCAATCTATCCAGAAAGGTTTTTCTTTCAGCCATCAATACTATCAAATCATATAATGTACTTTAAGTTGAACGTTGATTGACAGTTTATATTGATGAGAGTAATGGTCCATGTAGCAGACATCTAACCCACTTTCTTTCAGCCATCAATACCATAAATCATATAATGTACTTTAGCTTGAACGTACCACCCATCCACCGCCATCAGTGTCCATGTCACAGTACACTTCCATGGGCTTGGTGCGATCACTGTTGATATAAATGGTGTAGATTCCACTTGCCATGTTGCCATTCATCTTAATCTGAGTACAGTCCATGGGGAACGGGTACAACAAACCCACTGTTAAAGGTACAAGTAAAATGATGTCAGTAAGCTTTCATTTTCAGGGGGGAAAAAGTAATTGTGTTAACTCATTTACATTATATAGCAATAAACAAATTGACCGGAAAGTTGGCTGTCAGTGATATTTCACAAGTGACCAATTAAAAGATGAGAAAGGAATGAAACATTACTAATTACACTACATTAATAGCACAATAGCTTAGTGAAATGCAAACATCACCACACTGATATGTGAATAAATCAGACTAGTTTGGTCTAGGGAGGACGTTCATAGAGGGCACATCGTACCTGTTTTGAATGTGATCTCTATCACTCTGCTCCTCTTTGCTCCTCTGTAAGCGAGGAGGGTAGCGATATAGTTATTTCCCATCTCCAGGCCCGACATGGCAAACCTGCTCTCTCCTGCCCTCAGCTTCTTCTCCAAAGTCTATTCAGAACACATAATAATTATAATCCTTGGTTGATTTTACAATCTTTTACCACTAGAGGTCAGGGGTATAACACAGTTTTCTTTTTTTTTTTTGCACAAGATGCACACCTTATATAGGATCAGGCCCGGCGTTGTGGGTGGGCCTTAGGGGGCCTGGCTCGCCCTACCGTACCTCCTTCCCTTTAAATATTGATCATTTATTTGCCTGAGACACGTGCCGACAGAAAGACACATCAATCTCAGATAAAACTTCTGAGCGAGCGAAACAGCGCCCCTCTATCTCATAAAAAGCGCTACATGGTCAATCCGACGTCTGCATTGGCCGTGCAGCATTTATGGTGTATGTGTGCCGTAGTTAAATGTATTAGTTCTGTCCTTGAGCTGTTCTTGTCTATTAATATTCTGCATTATGTCATGTTTCATGTGGACCCCAGGAAGAGTAGCTGCTGCTTTTGCAACAGCTAATGGGGATCCTAATAAAATACCAAAAGGATGAAAGGTCATTGTGACCTACAATACTAAAAGCTACAAAAATATAACTGGCAATAATAATAGATTTCTATAGCTATGTACATATATCATAACATTGGATACATCACTGTTTACAACTACTAGAGGGTGAATTAGTGAGAATCAAAGTACCTTCAATGTGCCATCCTCAGCTCTGAACGTGAGGATGTAGCCATCTATTCTGGCTAAGGGAGCAGTCCAGGTCAGGGTCGCAGCATCCAGCTTAACATCTGACGCTTTTAGGTTCTTAGGCGCATCAATTTCTACGGAAAGAAGGTCCCAAAATGTAAGCAATTCAGTCAAATAGATAGAATGAATGAAACTGTTCAGTTGCAGTCATTGGACGGTTGAATAAGATTATGTAGTATTTATCATGCCTTTCATTCCTCCATCTCTATTCTCCAATAAAGGTCACTGTTTGTCTCACATATTGAGCAGATCCTTGAACTGTTAGTCAGAGTTTACCAGAATTCCAGTAAGAGCGGAGGAACCTGCAGCTCCTCAACGATTATGCCTCCACAAGATAAGCTCCTGTTCAGTAATGACTATCTGTCTCATTGGACAATGAATGCGTGGAATTATCATGAAAAGACTTGGCTGTCGACTGGAGCCCCAGGGCAAATAGATAACCTGTCTCAGCTGGTGTGGAACTCTTCCTGCTGACACGGGAGCCCTTGACAGCCCAGATGTAGACTGTGTAGATGACTCCAGGCCTCAGCCCAGTCAACCTGTAGGAGCTGATGTCTGCCCCCACAGGGATCTCCCCACTGGAGCCGTCAGCAGAGCTGTAGCTGATCACGTAGCCGTCAATGTCCGCTAGAGGTCTGTCCCACGACACATCGGCTGTATCCTCGGTCACTTCTCTGGTCAAGAGGTTAGTAGGAGCATCCAGATCTGGAGAACCATTGATGTAAGGATTAATGCTCTTCTGTGTTATGTCATGATGTTTGTGACATTTAATTGATTTACTGTATCAACACCTGCTGTACCTGAGAGACTTGTAAATCACTCTAATTGTATAAGAGATACTTTAAAGGGACAGTTCACACACCAAAATCATCGTTTGTCAGAGGTTTTCAGGCCTCATAAATGGTCTAATATCGATATAAGTCTATGTGCCTTGCCATCTCTTGTGTAGACCTAGCCATGTGCCCTCATCCCAAAATAAGGCAAAATATAGGCACTATCTTAAATTATGGATTTAGACAGTTATTTTATTTTCCATTAATTGGGGATTTAGGCATGTAGTTGGACATGAACAAATACTACAGTTTCCTATAGAATACTACAGTACTTACTATATAATTATATAGTATACTGTAGTATACTATACTACACAATGTAGTATCCCTCGGTCATGTGTAGTACTTACTATATAATTTTGTAGAATAATATAGTAAATACTACAGTATACTACAGACTGCAATACTACAGTAAATACTACAGTAATGTCATAAAACACTACAGTCCCCAAAAACACTACAGCAATTACTATAGTATTACTCGACTTCGACTCAGGCCTAACAACACCCATGCCAATATATCCTCCAAACACCAGCTTCTCGTGCATTATCACTTAAATATTGTACTACAGTATTTCATTTGTGTATACCCTGCCCATTCCATTCCCCCATATCCCAATTTGTGCCACCCATAAGTGACAAACCTACATGCCAAGTATAGACATTATATTGTGTTCCTTACAGGTTATAAAAAGGAGCAGAAGCTCTGAACTGTCTGTTCAGACCTCAGTCCTATCTACCTACAGGTTATGGAAAGCTTGAACAAAGACGACTCATGAACTAACATCTCTACAGTCGTGGTCAAGAGTTTTGAGAATGACACAGGTATTGGTCTTCACAAAGTTCGCTGCTTCAGTGTTATGAGATATTTTTGTCAGATGTTACTATGGTATACTGAAGTATAATTACAAGCATTCCATAAGTGTCAAAGGCTTTTATTGACAATTACATTAAGTTTATGCAAAGAGTCAATATTTGCAGTGTTGACCCTTCTTTTTCAAGACCTCTGCAATCCGCCCTGGCATGCTGTCAATTAACTTCTGGGCCACATCCTGACTGATGGCAGCCCATTCTTGCATAATCAATGCTTGGAGTTTGTCAGAATTTGTGGGGTTTTGTTTGTCCACCCGCCTCTTGAGGATCGACCACAAGTTCTCAATGGGATTAAGGTCTGGGGAGTTTCCTGGCCATGGACCCAAAATGTCGATGTTTTGTTCCCCGAGCCACTTAGTTATCACTTTTGCGTTATGGCAAGGTGCTCCATCATGCTGGAAAAGGCATTGGTCGTCACCAAACTGTTATTGGATGGTTGAGAGAAGTTGCCCTCTGAGGATGTGTTGGTACCATTCTTTATTCATGGCTGTGTTCTTAGGCAAAATTGTGAGTGAGCCCACTCCCTTGGCTGAGAAGCAACCCCACACATGAATGGTCTCAGGATGCTTTACTGTTGACATGACACAGGACTGATGGTTCCGCTCACCTTGTCTTCTCCGGACAAGCTTCTTTCCGGATGCCCCAAACAATCGGAAAGGGGATTCATCAGAGAAAATGACTTTACCCCAGTCCTCAGCAGTCCAATCCCTGTACCTTTTGCAGAATATCAGTCTGTCCCTGATGTTTTTCCTGTAGAGAAGTGGCTTCTTTGCTGCCCTTCTTGACACCAGGCCATCTTACAAAAGTATTCGCCTCACTGTGCGTGTAGATGCACTAACACCTGCCTGCTGCCATTCCTGAGCAAGCTCTGCACTGATGATGCCCCGATCCCGCAGCTGAATCAACTTTAGGAGACGGTCCTGGCGCTTGCTGGACTTTCTTGGGCGCCCTGATGCCTACTTCACAACAATTGAACCTCTCTCCTTGAAGTTCTTGATGATCCAATAAATGGTTGATTTAGGTGCAATCTTACTAGCGGCAATATCCTTGCCTGTGAAGCCCTTTTTGTGCAAAGCAATGATGACGGCACGTGTTTCCTTGCAGGTAACCATGGTTAACAGAGGAAGAACAATGATTTCAAGCACCACCCTCCTTTTAAAGCTTCCAAGTCTGTTATTCTAACTCAATCAGCATGACAGAGTGATCTCCAGCCTTGTCCTCGTCAACACTCTCACCTGTGTTAACGAGAGAATCACTGACATGATGGCAGCTGGTCCTTTTGTGGCAGGGCTGAAATGCAGTGGAAATCTTTTTGGGGGGATTAAGTTCATTTTCATGGCAAAGAGGGACTTTGCAATTAATTGCAATTCATCTGATCACTCTTCATGACATTCTGGAGTATATGCAAATTGCCATCATCAAAACTGAGGCAGCAGACTTTGTGAAAATTAGTATGTGTCATTCTCAAAACTGTTGACCACGACTGTACAGTGTGTGGGATCTCACCCCTCACACTCAAAAAGTATGAGACTAGTTAGTGACCTGTCTCAGCTACAATGGAGCTCTTCCTGCTGACCCGGGAGCCCTTGACAGCCCAGATGTAGACTGTGTAGATGACTCCAGGTCTCAGCCCAGTCAACCTGTAGGAGTTGATGTCTGCCCCCACAGGGATCTCCCCACTGGAGCCGTCAGCAGAGCTGTAGCTGATCATGTAGCCGTCGATGTCCGCTAGAGGTCTGTCCCACGACACATCGGCTGTATCCTCGGTCACTTCTCTGGTCAAGAGGTTAGTAGGAGCATCCAGATCTGGAGAGCCATTAGTAAATGGGTTAATATTATATTCCAGTCTATCATGCTGTTATATTTTTCCCCTCTAGGATGAATAAAGTTATGTTGCACATTTTCACAAGAGCAAAAAACTACTTTTGTGACAGGCAAAATATTTATCTGGTCAGGATCTGTTAAAAAGTATCTCAAGTATTTTGCATACAATTCACAGTCTTTTATTGAGGAATTATACTCCAAAATCACATTTTGTATTATGTTTTCAGACCTCAAAAGTGGTCTTCTGTTGAGATAAATTCCCATCCCAGGCCATCAGTTTTGTAGCTCTAGCTATATGCCAAAATTCTAAATGACTAGGAAAGATAAGCACCACGTAATTTCAAGCTTTGCGGTGCTTATCTTTTCCATTAATTTGGGGTTTAAGAATATAGCTAGCTGGATCTACGCAACCAATGGCGTGGGATGTGGACTCATCTTGACATTCTTTTTATGTCTGAAAACATCTGACAAACTTACATTTTGGAGTGGAATGTCCCTTTATGTAAAACATATTGTTTGAAAATCTGATTATCTGTGATGGTCAGTTGAGGTATGACTAAGGAGATGTGAAACAAGTTTGATTGATAATTTTTTGTGTTACACACTCCTTTTTATAGTCCCAGATCTAACACAAAGGTGTCCTATTCTAAGTAACAGCCATATCCACCACAGGAGGTTGGTGGCACCTTAATTGGGGAGGACGGGCTTGTGGTAATGGCTGGAGCGGAATCACTGCAATAGTATCAAATACATCAAACACATGGTTTCCATGTGTTTGATGCCATTCCATTCACTCCATTCCAGACATTATTATGAGCCGTCCTCCCCTCAGCAGCCCCCTGTGATATCCACATGGTTTTTCGACCCTTTAAATTACGAGACAAGTTAGTGACCTGTCTCAGCTACAGTGGAGCTCTTCCTGCTGACCCGGGAGCCCTTGACAGCCCAGATGTAGACTGTGTAGATGACTCCAGGCCTCAGCCCAGTCAGCCTGTAGAGTTGCTGTCTGCCCCCACAGGGATCTCCCAGTGTCCACTTTAGCCTCAATTACTACCCAAGCTCACAATGTATCACCACCCTGTTTGTTAGCTCGTTTGAGAGCAGAAAGTTCCATGTACCACCTTCCAACAGTCCTGTGTCACAGTTAATCTAAGTTCACTGATCCAGAAATCCTACCCTGCCCCAACCTACCCCTAACCAGTCAGCAGAGGAAACAGGGGCAGTGCTTGTATTTCACCCCTCTCGGATGTTTGTATCCATATGGAATCCAGTTGTTTGACTTATGGGACAGGTTAGTGTACTATGTCTGTTTCAGTCATTTTCTCACTGAAGCAGGCGTCCATGACAGGGCAGCTGTAGGTTTCCAATAACACAACGTCCCACACAAACAGTCCCTGAAGACCAGACGACCCCACCTCACCTACAACCTAATTTAGCATATTGTTCACTTTGGGTATCAACGGGATTGTGGGAGAGGAAACGTACATTGATTTGGAAAATACAGTAGCACTGGGTGATGATATTTATGTGATATGAGAATCAAGAGATTTACTACACAGTGCTTTTCTATAGTCTGTATTTCCTGATGGCGGGTGTCAGCTGGTATTACACTTGAGCCATCTGTTTTAATGCCATAAACAGCAATGTTAAGACGCACTCTTTTTTCTCTCTTTCTCTCCCTCTTCTTTGTGTGTACAGTTGCTCTCAAATGTCTCTTAGCATTTTGCTGACTGGATTGCCAGTAGGTGAATGTTGAACAAACAGTTAGGTGAAACAAGGGGTTATTTAAATAGCCCCACCAAACCATTACTGCCTCCTCTTTTATAATGTTAAATTGGTACACAAGATAAGCATATGTTTGGTGTTTCTTTGAAATTAGTAGAATTAAATGAGGGGAAAAAACACAATCTCCCTTTGAGTTAAATCTCATTTGTTGTCGCCAAAACATTCTCACAAACATGTTACACAGCGCTAGGCTATGCTAAACTCATGTTAAAAGAAGTATCTACCCTAATTACTTTAAATAGCTTCCCCAGTACAGGTCTGAGTGAGAGTGTCCCTCTTGGCAAAGATTTGAGGGAGAGAAATATGCACAAAAGTTTGAAGGGTGAAAGTCAGCCAGGCTGTTTTTTTGTTTTTACCATGTTGCCATTGTAGAAAGTACATCCTTTAAAAAGTGAAAACACAGCCCTAAGAACTATCCAAAAGAAAATAAAATGATTATCAAAGGACCTACAGAAAGCATAGGATGAGAAGATCTCTCCCATTCATCCATAAGCCATCAGGATCAAAACATAAAGACAGACGTCACTTAAGACTATTTCAAGAACGGAAACAAAAACAATGTGATCACTATTATGCCATCAGAGTCAGACATGAGATTAACAGTTTACCTGTCTCAGCTTCTGTGGAGCTCTTCCTGCTGACCCGGGAGCCCTTGACAGCCCAGATGTAGACTGTGTAGATGACTCCAGGTCTCAGCCCAGTCAACCTGTAGGAGTTGATGTCTGCCCCCACAGGGATCTCCCCACTGGAGCCGTCAGCAGAGCTGTAGCTGATCATGTAGCCGTCGATGTCCGCTAGAGGTCTGTCCCACGACACATCGGCTGTATCCTCGGTCACTTCTCTGGTCAAGAGGTTAGTAGGAGCATCCAGATCTGGAGAGCCATTAGTAAATGGGTTAATATTATATTCCAGTCTATCATGCTGTTATATTTTTCCCCTCTAGGATGAATAAAGTTATGTTGCACATTTTCACAAGAGCAAAAAAAACTACTTTTGTGACAGGCAAAATATTTATCTGGTCAGGATCTGTTAAAAAGTATCTCAAGTATTTTGCATACAATTCACAGTCTTTTATTGAGGAATTATACTCCAAAATCACATTTTGTATTATGTTTTCAGACCTCAAAAGTGGTCTTCTGTTGAGATAAGTTCCCATCCCAGGCCATCAGTTTTGTAGCTCTAGCTATATGCCAAAATTCTAAATGACTAGGAAAGATAAGCACCACGTAATTTCAAGCTTTGCGGTGCTTATCGTTTCCATTAATTTGGGGTTTAAGAATATAGCTAGCTGGATCTACGCAACCAATGGCGTGGGATGTGGACTCATCTTGACATTCTTTTTATGTCTGAAAACATCTGACAAACTTACATTTTGGAGTGGAATGTCCCTTTATGTAAAACATATTGTTTGAACATCTAATTATCTGTGATGGTCAGTTGAGGTATGACTAAGGAGATGTGAAACAAGTTTGATTGATAATTTTTTGTGTTACACACTCCTTTTTATAGTCCCAGATCTAACACAAAGGTGTCCTATTCTAAGTAACAGCCATATCCACCACAGGAGGTTGGTGGCACCTTAATTGGGGAGGACGGGCTTGTGGTAATGGCTGGAGCGGAATCACTGCAATAGTATCAAATACATCAAACACATGGTTTCCATGTGTTTGATGCCATTCCATTCACTCCATTCCAGACATTATTATGAGCCGTCCTCCCCTCAGCAGCCCCCTGTGATATCCACATGGTTTTTCGACCCTTTAAATTACGAGACAAGTTAGTGACCTGTCTCAGCTACAGTGGAGCTCTTCCTGCTGACCCGGGAGCCCTTGACAGCCCAGATGTAGACTGTGTAGATGACTCCAGGCCTCAGCCCAGTCAGCCTGTAGGAGTTGCTGTCTGCCCCCACAGGGATCTCCCCACTGGAGCCCTCAGCAGAGCTGTAGCTGATCACGTAGCTGTCGATTTCAGCCTGGACTTTATCCCATGTTACTGTCGCTGTGTCCTCTGTCACTTCTCTGGTCAACAGGTTAGCAGGAGCATCTAGATCTGGAGAGGTATCAGTGTAAGTAAGTAGGTACATTAGTTTCAGTACATACTATGTAAGTATCAGGCAATAAAAGATATATGTGTTAGGGATTATGTTTGTTTGTTTCTTTTTCAAAGGAAAACCAATGCGTCTCGGCTTTTGGCCTTCGCCAATACATTTAAGACATTTTTCAATTAAATATCAGTGTCCACTTTAGCCTCAATTACTACCCAAGCTCACAATGTATCACCACCCTGTTTGTTAGCTCGTTTGAGAGCAGAAAGTTCCATGTACCACCTTCCAACAGTCCTGTGTCACAGTTAATCTACGTTCACTGATCCAGAAATCCTACCCTGCCCCAACCTACCCCTAACCAGTCAGCAGAGGAAACAGGGGCAGTGCTTGTATTTCACCCCTCTCGGATGTTTGTATCCATATGGAATCCCGTTGTTTGACTTATGGGACAGGTTAGTGTACTATGTCTGTTTCAGTCATTTTCTCACTGAAGCAGACGTCCATGACAGGGCAGCTGTAGGTTTCCAATAACACAATGTCCCACACCAACAGTCCCTGAAGGCCAGACGACCCCACCTCACCTACAACCTAATTTAGCATATTGTTCACTTTGGGTATCAATGGGATTGTGGGAGAGGAAACGTACATTGATTTGGAAAATACAGTAGCACTGGGTGATGATATTTATGTGATATGAGAATCAAGAGATTTACTACACAGTGCTTTTCTATAGTCTGTATTTCCTGATGGCGGGTGTCAGCTGGTATTGCACTTGAGCCATCTGTTTTAATGCCATAAACAGCAATGTTAAGACGCACTCTTTTTTCTCTCTTTCTCTCCCTCTTCTTTGTGTGTACAGTTGCTCTCAAATGTCTCTTAGCATTTTGCTGACTGGATTGCCAGTAGGTGAATGTTGAACAAACAGTTAGGTGAAACAAGGGGTTATTTAAATAGCCCCACCAAACCATTACTGCCTCCTCTTTTATAATGTTAAATTGGTACACAAGATAAGCATATGTTTGGTGTTTCTTTGAAATTAGTAGAATTAAATGAGGGGAAAAAACACAATCTCCCTTTGAGTTAAATCTCATTTGTTGTCGCCAAAACATTCTCACAAACATGTTACACAGCGCTAGGCTATGCTAAACTCATGTTAAAAGAAGTATCTACCCTAATTACTTTAAATAGTGTCGTATCGAGTGAGTGGTGGCAATTATTGCTGATGAACAAAAGGAGTCTGCTCATACTGAACGTTGATCATAAGGTTTATTCAGATCACAAGCTTCAGCATGGGTGACAGACTCGCGAGGTCTGGAGAGCAGTGTCCTCCAATTCTAATGCCTGCTCTGCCCTATCTTCTTCGTGTACCCCTATTTATAAACAATGCAACAAGATGGGCTCCCTCTTCTGGCCAATCACCAGTTTACAACACACTTCCTGTCTATTATATGTGACATTATACTAAACATTGCCTTTTGATACTAACATAACCAACATTCCATTTCTTCATGAAAAACATTTAACAAAGACATAATCTTAATACACTACAATAGCTTCCCCAGTACAGGTCTGAGTGAGAGTGTCCCTCTTGGCAAAGATTTGAGGGAGAGAAATATGCACAAAAGTTTGAAGGGTGAAAGTCAGCCAGGCTGTTTTTTTGTTTTTACCATGTTGCCATTGTAGAAAGTACATCCTTTAAAAAGTGAAAACACAGCCCTAAGAACTATCCAAAAGAAAATAAAATGATTATCAAAGGACCTACAGAAAGCATAGGATGAGAAGATCTCTCCCATTCATCCATAAGCCATCAGGATCAAAACATAAAGACAGAAGTCACTTAAGACTATTTCAAGAACGGAAACAAAAACAATGTGATCACTATTATGCCATCAGAGTCAGACATGAGGTTAACAGTTTACCTGTCTCAGCTTCTGTGGAGCTCTTCCTGCTGACCCGGGAGCCCTTGACAGCCCAGATGTAGACTGTGTAGATGACTCCAGGCCTCAGCCCAGTCAGCCTGTAGGAGCTGCTGTCTGCCCCCACAGGGATCTCCCCACTGGAGCCCTCAGCAGAGCTGTAACTGATCACGTAGCCATCGATCTCTGCTTGTACCTTCTGCCATTCCACGGTAGCAGCGTCCTCTGTCACTTCTTTGGTCAAGAGGTTAGTAGGAGCGTCAAGATCTGTTGATACATGAGGATGTAGGCAGAAGATATGTTGTGTGAAGCGTAATTATTTTCTATAAGGACACTCAGGTGGTTTATAAAAGACCATTGAAGCATTAACTTTATCCAAGTCGGTCAATTAAATGCAGAATTTTTTTTTCTGATGGGCCCTTCACTCCTGTGAGGAGCAGACAGAGGTCCTAGTAGTAGGCTGGAAGAGGAACACAGACAGGCTCTCTCTCTCTGTGAGGAAACAGGAGGAGGTCAAAGGGCTTAAGGTATCAGAGGACAGAGAAGAAATATGGCGGATGTGAGCGGACTGACAGGGGTGATCCAGACCGGAGCACGGAGCAGAGCAGGGTGAGTGAGGGGAATGGGGTTGCAGTTATATGGGTGTCGCTGGAGTAAGGCAAGTGGCAGAGAGAGAGAGAGAGAGAGAGAGAGAGAGAGAGAGAGAGAGAGAGAGAGAGAGAGAGAGAGAGAGAGAGAGAGAGAGAGAGAGAGAGAGAGAGAGAGAGAGAGAGAGAGAGAATGTCAAAGCAATCATCATTGGGCTATTCCTCCGTGACTCCGCCAAGGTCAGCTCTATGTCACAGTAATATCCGCATCATGAAAACTGATTAATGATGCATCCAAAGAGAAAGTTCTGGGAATGGGAGCCACGGGTTTAGCTGTTGTCTTTTTGCCACTGTATGTGGGTACATTGCTTGTCAAGCTCAAAGAGGTCAGTCGCAAGAAAATGACAACAAGATAACAAAGTATCAGTAGCCTTTGAGAAAAGCATGTCTACAGTGTATGAGTTAAGCCTTGTCTCTGTGGTCCCAAGCGGAGACCTTCATTTCCCTGCAAAGTGAGCGCTTGTCAGAAACATCTCGCTTTCTTACTTATCAAACAAAAATTCAGACAGACACACATGCCACAGCTTTATCATCCTCTCCAATGCATGGTTGCTCATGCTTGAACAGATCAGCACTTTGGTAGGTGTTTTATTTCCGTGGGAGAGGCTGAAGACAGTGTGGCGAGGCCGTGGCGTGGCGTATGACGGATTGGGTTAGCTCAAGGTTCTGCCGCCACAGTAGCTGAGTGGGAGACTACAAAACACTGGTTGTGGTTTACCATGTGGAAAACAGCTATTCCATCATAGGCCTCCTTACAGGCCTTACCGCCTGGGGAGCGAGCTGCATTTACACGCTAGCCTTACTTAAACGGACAGTGACAGCAGAAAGTTGAGTGCTCGAGGAGCCCGAGGGAGTGCTGTGTCAGAAAGTATGGCCGGGACGATACCAGTATTGCGATATTTTTCCACGGCAAAAATGAAAACACAAAGCAGACCAAACTCTTTGGTATGTCAAATTCTGTGTGCTATAGCATGGAAAATAAATAAATGTGACTCTGGATGACAACATAATGACGTTTGTTTCCAATATTAGGGCTGTTTTCCTAAAGAAGTTAAATCCGCTTCGTGTTTTGTTTCCTTGCCACGATACTAACGAGTATCGCGAAACTGGTATCGTCCTGGCCCTATCAGAAGGTCGCCATTTTTCTAAATAGCTGTGTACGTGGTTATGTATGTATAGATCTAAAGTCCACCCACACTGCAGTTAGCAGCTCATAACTATTTCTGAAGAGGTTTATTAGGGGAAGAAGTGATTAGTAACTTCAGCACCTCAGAATAACTGTGAAGGATAAGGACTAAGGGCACCAGAGTCCGCCTCCGCCCATGTACCGACTGCCGCCCGGCTGTACTCCACAGCTTCACAGGACCTTTGAGTCCAGACACCATATAACATGAAGGCTAAACACATTCCCTGGCTTTCACCTAGCTATGCAGCTGCTTCTGGTTATACGGCCGCTCCTGTGTAAACTTTATTCAAACTGATTAGGTAGCACCAGCAGACTACTATGTTGTGTTTATGAGCCTTAAAATCCTCTGGCAGGTCACTATGACAAGTAGCGATTCAATCGATTTTGGCTGGTCCGAATGCTGTAATAGCGCGCTATAATTAATGTCTCCTGGCACACGTGTCAAGGTCTAGCACCGTACTCCACTGTTTCATTGTCTATGAAATAAGGATTTATGATGACCACACAGTAGAAGAGAGAGCCATTTGTTTAACAAAATACTATCATGCCATTGAATAAAAGAAGACAATGCATACCTAAAATGCATGCACGCATGACTGTAAGTCACTTTGGATAAAAGCATGTGCTAAATAAATACTGGGTCTGTCCTGAAAGAGAGAGGTATTGAAAAGCACTTTCCCTTTCTTGTTGTAAGTGGAGGACCAGCCACTTGTGTGAGAGAACATTCTGTAATGTATAATTTGCTGAGAGGAGGGGAAAATGCCCCTCTAATTGAGGCTTCCATAATGTGAGCTGTCAGGGGCGGCCCCGCAGGATACAGTTTCATACTCTGTACAGTTAGTAGGAGGCTCATATATTCACAGACATAATAGACTGTCTCTATGTGATTGCTATTATGTTCGTATTTTCATATAATTTATTTTACGTGTGTGACTTTATCGCTCTGAGGAGAACAAACTGTGCAGTAGCAGTAGTAGATTACCTTTTAAAAGCACCCGGCCCACGCACTAATCTTGAACCAATTCTATGCCTATCTAAGGGAACTCAGGAGTTCCAAATTACAAAAATCACTATAAGCCTTTCGTGCAACTCCTCAAGTGAAGGTTTAAGACAAGCCACTGTGAATCATATGAAGATTAGCTCTGTAGGGGAAGTATGTGTGAGATCATGGAAGCCACCTGACAACCATCAAATGGGAGCGCTACAACCGTTAACTCCCAAATTAAAACCATTAAATGTCGCCTGAGGGCTGAGAAAACAAGCATCATCAGTGTAATGAGACAGGGAGCTCTCCTTTTGAACTACTACATCACCCTATCAAAAGGAGCAGGCCAAGTTGGATAAGCTGCCATTGTAGACCATCAACTCAGTCAGTCAACTAGGAGGCAAGTAACAGGTTGGATAGGACCAGCTGTAGAAGTGAATATCCTTTATGAATTCATCCTCAAATAACTCAACAGAATCCTTGTGAAGCCCAAATAAGGGATTCCTATGTTAATATTTCTCAAAGGACCAGATGGCTTTGTAAATCATGGACTATACTCACCTTAGGGCTGGGATCTATGGTGAGAATCTCAAGCTGTTACACAATGTGTTCTAGTTACATTGTAGTAATTTAGCAGGCGCACTTACCCAGAGTGACTTACTGTATTGAATGCATACATTTTCGTACTTTCCCAAGTGGGTATCGAACCCACAACCCTGGCTTTGCAAGCGCCATGCTCTACCAACTGAGCCACATGAGACATTGGAATTTTTCCTATTTTGTTGCATTACAACCTGTAATTTAAATTGATTTTTGGGGGGGATTTCATGCAATGGACATACACAAAATAGTCCAAATTGGTGAAGTGAAAAAAAAATAAAAAACTTGTTTCAAAATATTCAAAACAACAAATAACGGAAAAGTGGTGCGGGCATATGTATTCACCCCCTTTGCTATGAAGCCCCTAAATAAGATCTGATGCAACCAATTACCTTCAGAAGTCACATAATTAGTTAAATAAAGTCCACCTGTGTGCAATCTAAGTGTCACATCATCTGTCACATGATCTCAGTATATATACACACCTGTTCTGAAAGGCAGAGTCTGCAACACCACTAAGCAAGGGGCACCACCAAGCAAGTGGCACCATGAAGACCAAGGAGCTCTCCAAACAGGTCAGGGACAAAGTTGTGGAGAAGTACAGATCAGGGTTGGGTTATAAAAAATATCAGAAACTTTGAACATCCCACGGAGCACCATTAAATCCATTATTAAAAAATGGAAAGAATATGGCACCATAACAAACCTGCCAAGAGAAGGCCGCCCACCAAAACTCACAGACCAGGCAAGGAGGGCATTAATCAGAGAGGTAACAAAGAGACCAAAGATAACCCTGAAGGAGCTGCAAAGCTCAACAGTGGAGATTGGAGTATCTGTCCATAGGACCACTTTAAGCTGGACAATCCACATAGCTGGGCTTTATAGAAGAGTGGCCAGAAAAAAAGCCATTGCTTAAAGAAAAAAATAAGCTAACACGTTCGTTGTTTGCCAAAAGGCATGTGGGAGACTCCCCAAACATATGGAAGAAGGTACTCTGGTCAGATGAGACTAAAATTGAGCTTTTTGGCCATCAAGGAAAACGCTATGTCTGGCGCAAACCCAACACCTCTCATCACCCCGAGAACACCATCCCCACAGTGAAGCATGGTGGTGGCAGCATCATGCTGTGGGGATGTTTTTCATCGGCAGGGACTGGGAAACTAGTCAGAATTGAACGAATGATGGATGGCGCTAAATAAAGGGAAATTCTTGAGGGAAACCTGTTTCAGTCTTCCAGAGATTTGAGACTGGGACGGAGGTTCACCTACCAGCAGGACAATGACCCTAAGCATACTGCTAAAGCAACACTCGAGTGGTTTAAGGGGAAACATTCAAATGTCTTGGAATGGCCTAGTCAAAGCCCAGACCTCAATCCAATTGAGAATATGTGGTATGACTTAAAGATTGCTGTACACCAGCGGAACCCATCCAACTTGAAGGAGCTGGAGCAGTTATGCCTTGAAGAATGGGCAAAAATCCCAGTGGCTAGATGTGCCAAGCTTATACCCCAAGAGACTTGCAGCTGTAATTGCTGCAAAAGTTGGCTCTACAAATTATTGACTTGGGGGGGGGGGGGGGGGGGGGGGGGGGGGTGAATAGTTATGCACACTCAAGTTCTGTTTTTTTGTTTGTTTCACAATAACAAATATTTTGTATCTTCAAAGTGGTAGGCATGTTGTGTAAATCAAATGATACAAACCCCCCAAAAATATATTTTAATTCCAGGTTGTAAGGCAACAAAATAGGAAATATGCCGAGGGTGGTGAATACTTTCGCAAGACACTGTATCTCTGAAGACCATCCAGTTTGATTTCTATTTTGCCATATCTTTTTAAATGTTCTGTTTCACAAAAGTTCTGAACCTATATACATTTTACAGACAGTATGTTTTACATTAGTTATCTTGTTGTTTTTAATCCCACCCTTCAGCTCCACTCAACCCCTCCCATCTATCTCTTAACACCATCCATTTGTTATTTATATTTGCCAAAAATGTGTCAACTGTGCTGTGATGTTTCACAAAAGTTCTGAACCTTTCTATTCTCAGTTTCTACAGATTGTAAATTAAAGATAAACATTTTTGCTAAAGGTATTATTATATTATTGATCAATTGACTATGACTTTTCAAGTCACCTAGTAGTGCTATCTGCAGAGTTAGCGCCAGGTAAATGTTACACTTCTTCAACCATTCCTGGACTTGTGACCAAAAACAAGCTACATATGGACAGTACCAAAACAAATGATCTATTGATTCGGTCTCTTTGCAGCAAAATCTGCAGAGCTGGGATGGTTGTATCCCCCATTTATATAAAATTATATTGGTTGCAAGAATTGTGTATATATAATTTAAATTGAAAATGTATACGTTTTGAATCCGGCGTTGTTTTGCGTATCAGTTCATAAACCATGTGCCACGGAATCGGTACATCGAAAATCTCTTCCCAACTATTTTTCAATCTATTTGGCATAGCTGTTGGTCCTTAAATTAAACTGGTATACTTTTTTATTTATCACCATTTTCTTTAACCAATGTTGGTCTTAAATGCAAGGCCAACAGACAAGTTCCTTACTTTTTCCCCCTTCCACTTCCCCTCCATTTTTACGCTAACCACTCTTACCTCAATCATTAGAACCTGTCCAGATTATTAGGCTGTAAGTTCTGACCCATAATCACTAGCCATAATTATTAGTCTTCCTGACCACGTTCTTTATTCTATTATCATTGGCTGTTATAGTAAGACCTAATATCAGGGTACAGTACTGTATGTCATCATTCTATGCTTTATAACCCATTCTGTGTAGTGTTGGGAATGGTTTAGAGTTAGACTATTGTCCAATGGGCTAGAGGGTGGTTACAGCTGGCTGATGTTGGATATGGAATCCGTGTCGCAAATGGCACCCTATTCCCTATGATGTGCACTTATTTCTGACCAGGTCCCATAGGGCTATTCTATAGCCCTATGGGACCTCCATTGAACAGGGTGCCATTTGGGACGCAGACATAGTGTCTCCTCACCCCTGAAACCCCCAGATATCCTGTGTTGTCTAGAATCAGCAGCATTCACCTGTGACTCCGGTGACGAAGGAGGCTTTCCCCTCGATGGTCCCTTTGATGCCTTGCACTGTGATGAGGTACTCAGTGCCAGGTTGCAGTCCTGTTTAACACACACACAGGGGAAGTAAGCTGCAAAACCTCATAGTGGTTCAAGGTTCTTAATCTACCAAAATACATTTTAACACTATTGGATGATTATAGCCATTTAGGTACATAGCAAACAAAATCGATGATCTGTGAATGCTCAAAGGGCTATGAGTGTTCTGCTCAAGTGAAGAGAGGTGGAGACCATTAGAACAGACAGTTACACAGGAAACGGTTTTAAAATATGATGTACTATTCTATTTAAATCTATTCCAGTGTTGTCCTTGTTTAAATGACGTACCTATGAGGGTGTGGGTAGTCCTGGCCTCTGCACTCATGGGTACGTTCTGCTCCTCTTCCTGCCCGTCAGGGTTAGCATGGGTCAGTCTGAAGTGGTCCAGAGGTGCTTCAGGGTTCTGCCAGTCCACCTGGATAGAGTCCTCAGTCTGGCCCAATACCCGGATACCATCAATACCAGACACCACTGTGTAGGGTCAACATGGTCTCATTAGAATATGTCAAAATAGTGACATTTAACCATTGTATTTATACTTCACCAAAGCTGACAATCATTATATGTCACAATAATGATCTATTAGTTATATGGTGAGGTTGGGGACAAGTTATAAGACAGGCCAGTAGGGTACCAAAGAGTGTCATAACTGTAGTACAGCACCACAGCATGTTTCCTATGAGGCTCTTACTTTACGTGATCTTGCATATGAGCCCATTAAAGGACAGGAAAAACTAATTAAAGACCAGCAAGGGGCTGACTAATGTTTTTTAACTGTTCTTTCTCAGGGGGAAAAAAAGATTTAAACCATTTGGCTCGGATAATGTTTTGAAGTTAAAGCGTCTTGTGTGGCTAGACTCTTCGTCATAGCCAGATGATCAGGCCTTTTCTCATGCCCAGAGAGGAATGTCATGCACTGAGATGTTTCCCACAGCCCAAGACTCTGTGCTCAGTGCCTCTCTTCGCCACATCTGTGAACTAGCCTTATTTCCATAAAATGTGTCTACGGCTTAATTTCCTTGTAATTAGGCTGCCTAGTGTAATTACCTTTAACCTAATGGTAAACAAACTATCACTAAGTGAATTGTTTAGTACAAACAGACTTCAGGGTTATTTGGGTCAACTGTACATACAGTACACAGTGAGTTCTATGTGATGACAGAACATTTAAATTGGCATTCAGAACCACTTACTACAAACGAAAGCAGCTGCATTTGTGAGAGAAAAGGACACAGTACAAATTAATGCAGTGATAAACATACTGAACTTTGCTCTGTGGTTCACTTCACATCTTTACCTGTGGTCGCCTCTATCCTGTCCCCCTTGCTCTGGATCTCCTTTATGACAGCGTACACCTGCACTATGTAGGTGACCCCCGGCCTGAGACCGGTGATCAGGTAGGAGGTCTCTGTGTTGGGCACGGTGACCCGCTCCAGCTCTGCCTCGTTGCCCTCAGGGTGCCAAGTCAGGATGTAGTATTCTGCTGCTCTCACCGCCTCCCACTCCACCAGCAGCGAGACATCAGTCACCCTGACCAGACGCAGGCCGTTAGGGCCCATCACTAAGGGGGGAAAAGAGGTATGTATGGTTGGTTAGATATTACTGCACTGTCAGAACTAGAAGCGCAAGCATTTCGCTACACCCCCAATAACATCTGCTAAACCTGTGTATGTGACAAATACAATTTGATTTGATTTGATTTTAAGGGACAGTTCAAAACTCTGTTATTCACTATGTTATTTTGATGAATTCAAGGGGTTACCCCAACCAGGGTAAACCTGGGGGCCTGTCAGTCCAACACTTCAGCTGTTAGGCCAAGAGATCAAACCTTTTGAAGAGGTCAGAAGCTATTGTATTAAGGTCACTATGTTATTGCTTTCTCTCCTTTTCACTCTTTTCACACTTCACTCGCTGTTACTCTGACAGAAATAACATATATGATTTAAGGAAAATAACATTTTTAACTTTAGTGGTTTTTCAAAAACTTGAGATGGAAATTGGTGAAAAGATATTGCTTTTCTGTGGTTACAGTGTTATATCTAGCCAGGATCCTTCAACTAAGATGGTGGAAAATATGGTCGGGCAAATCAGAGACTATAGGGGGACTTTTCAATAACATGAACGTGAGCCCAGGAGACGGCCAGTCAGCAGTGTACGGAGCAAACTTTCCACGCCAAGATATTCCTGCGTGTACAGGGAAATACATTGGCGACTGTAGGTGGTGAATTCGAGGATGAATTGCTAAGGAGACCACATTTACCAAGAAAGAATGCACAGCAGGTTTGGACATTGTTCCACATGATGAAGGCAGGAAATTCAATGTTTTCTTTTTCTTCAGCAGGAGCCTTTCCATACAGTGGCAGTTAATACGCCTGTTCCTGCCGTTTTCTCAAGCCATTGCCAGTAACAATTTTGCACTTAAATAGTATTTCAGAATGGCCAAAGGGACGAATAAATTAACATCTAAAGATTTGGAAAAAAAGAAAGAAAGGGACATTTGTGTCCTGACTGATTGTTAACGAAGGAAGCATACTGTATTTAGAATAAGAAAATTACTATCATAACAAAAATGATGTTTGAACTTCATAAAGAAGGGAAGCATAAATCTACAGTGGCAGGTTCTGAACCAAGGAAAAATCTGTTTGGTGTTAAAAACATTTGGAGAAAACTGTAAATAGGCTTTCCATCAAGTGGGCTGAACGTGTCCTGCCCAGTGTTCTCTGTGTCATAATTCATACGAAAAACAAGTGTGGAAGCTGTTTCCATGTTGTACTGTGACCATACATACAGTGCATTCAGAAAGTATTCAGACCCCTTGACTTTTTCCACATTTTGTTACATTACAGCCTTATTCTAAAATGGAGTAAATGTTTTTTTTCCTCATCAATCTTTTTAGAAATGTTTTGCTAATTTATTAAAAATAAAAAATATCACATTTACATTAGTGTTCAGACCCTTTACTCAGTACTTTGTTTTAGCACCTTTGGCAGCGATTACAGCCTTGAGTCTTCTTGGGTATGACGCTACAAGCTTGGCACACAGTAGCGGGTAGCTACTGGTAACTATTAGCAACTGTGGATAGTTGTTTCCAATGTTATTTCACGCTTAAGAGTACCTGTAATTATGCCAGCTAGCTACCTACCATTCAGCTGTTTTTCTAACCTCATTATCGGAAGCGTTAACGTTAGGTAGTTAGTAGCTACTGTACTCGAAATGTAGCTAGCTTGTTGCTACCTGGATAGCTAACTAAACAATAGCTGGAACGACCTAGCTGTAATGTTTGGAGACGCTTTCTCTCCGTTGGGACAGACGCGAACTGGCTAAATCGATTCAGTGGCTAGCTTTGCACTTAACTGGCTAACAGTAGCTACTAAGGATACGTTTTAACCTACATTTATTTTTGTTTTGTTTTTACATACTGGTAACCAGAGTCGTTCAAGGGAATTCGGGACATGGGTGACTAGTTAACGTTAGCTTGGTTCTCTCTGTGTGTTTCGTGCCGTGGGAGGAGGGGTTGGTTCGTTGGCAGAGAGCAATGGCTAGCTAGTATGCTAACTATTCTAGCTAACTAACTGGCTGAATAAGTTGACGACGTACTCACACAAACTGTCAAAACTAACCCAAAACTTTACACAACGTTAGACACGGACAAGAATGATCTGTTTGGCGTGTTAACACACTGGGGGATTGTTGTAACCGAGTATTGGTGCTAAACCGTGTTATTGGAGGCTGGCATGCTAGTTGGTTATGGCGTCATAGGATTCGGTGCCCTGGACGGTTTTCACAGAAGAATACTGTACCAAGTTAGCTAGCTGAATAAACTAAGTTAGAGTCTATTCCTAGAAAACATTGAACCGCTGTAGTTTACAACAATTATAATTTCTAAAGTGGAAGTTGGGAGAGTTATATTCGAGTGTTTCAGTGAAACGTAAGTGAGGGAGGCCCCGCTCTCTCGCTTTCCCAGATGTTTAGTTCATTTCATTCCGATCTCCTTTGCATTATTGTAGCCTTTTTCTGTAGCCTGTCAACTATGTGTCTGTCTATCCCTGTTCTCTCCTCTCTGCAAAGGCCATACAAACGCTTCACACCGCGTGGCTGCTGCCACTCAAATCTGGTGGTCCTTGCGTGCACGACCCACGTGGAGTTCCAGGTCTACGGCAGCCTCTGGAACTGCCGTTCTGCGGCCAACAAGGCAGAGTTTATCTCAGACTATGCTACCCTCCAGTCCCTCGACGTCTTGGCGCTGACAGAAACATGGATTACCACAGAAAACACTGCTACTCCTACTGCTCTTTCCTCGTCTGACCATGTGTTTTCGCATAACCCGAGAGCATCTGGTCAGCGCAGCGGTGGCACAGGAATCCTCATCCCTCCCAAGTGGACATTCTCTCTTTTTCCCCCTGACCCATCTGTCTATCTCCTCATTTGAATTCCATGCTGTCACAGTCACTAGCCCATTCAAGCTTAACATCCTTGTCATTTATAGCCCTCCAGGTTCCCTTGGAGAGTTCATCAATGAGCTTTACGCCTTGATAAGTTCCTTTCCTGAGGATGGCTCACCCCTCACAGTTCTTGGTGACTTTAACCTCCCTACGTCTGCCTTTGACTCATTTCTCTCTGCCTCCTTCTTTCCACTCCTTTACTATTTTGACCTCACCCTCTCACCGTCCCCCCCCTACTCACAAGGCAGGCAATACGCTTGACCTCATCTTTACTAGATGCTGGTCTTCTACTAATCTCACTGCAACTCCCCTCCAAGTCTCCGACCACTACTTTGTATCCTTTTCTCTCTCGCTCTCCTCCAACACTACTCACTCTGCCCCTACTCAGATGGTAATGTGCCGTCGTAACCTTCGCTCTCTCTCTCCCGCTACGCTCTCCTCTTCCATCCTATCATCTCTTCCCTCTGCTCAATCATTCTCCCTCCGATCTCCTGATTCTGCCTCCTCAACCCTCCTCTCCTCCCTTTCTGCATCCTTTGACTCTCTATGTCCCTTATCCTCCCGGCTGGCCCGGTCCTCCCCTCCTGCTCTGTGGCTTGACGACTCATTGCGAGCTCACAGAAGAGGGCTCCGGGCAGCCGAGCGGAAATGGAGGAAAACTAGACTCCCTGCGGACCTGTCATTTTTTCACTCCGTCCTCTCTACATTCTCTTCCTCGGTTTCCGCACCTAAAGCCACTTTCTACCACTCTAAATTTCAAGCCTCTGCCTCTAACCCTAGGAAGCTCTTTGCCACCTTCTCCTCCCTGCTGAATCCTCCTCCTCCTCCCCCTCCCCCTCCCTCCTCCCTCTCTGTGGATGACTTCGTCAACCATTTTGAAATGAAGGTTGATGACATCCGATCCTCATTTATTAAGTCAAATGACACCGCTGGTCCTGCTCACACTGCCCTACCCTATGCTTTGACTTCTTTCTCCCCTCTCTCTCCAGATTAAATCTTGCGACTTGTGACGGCCGGCCACCCAACAACCTGCCCGCTTGACCCTATCCCCTCCTCTCTTCTCCAGACCATTTCCGGAGACCTTCTCCCTTACCTCACCTCGCTCATCAACTCATCCTTGACCGCTGGCCATGTCCCTTCCATCTTCAAGACAGCGAGAGTTGCGCCCCTCCTCAAAAAACCTACACTCGATCCCTCCAATGTCAACTACAGACCAGTATCCCTTCTTTCTTTTCTCTCGTGCCGTCTCTAGCCAACTCTCCTGCTATCTCTCTCAGAATGACCTTCTTGATCCAAACCAGTCAGGTTTCAAGACTGGTCATTCAACTGAGACTGCTCTTCTCTGTGTCACGGAGGCTCTCCGCACTGCTAAAGCTAACTCTCTCTCCTCTGCTCTTATCCTTCTAGACCTATCCGCTGCCTTTGATACTGTGAACCATCAGATCCTCCTCTCCACCCTCTCCAAGTTGGGCATCTCCGGGCGCTGCTCACTCTTGGATTGCATCCTACCTGACAGGTCACTCCTACCAGGTGGCGTGGCAAGAATCTGTCTCCGCACCACGTGCTCTCACCACTGGTGTCCCCCAGATTCTCTCTATACACCACTTGGCTCTGTCATATCCTCACATGGTCTCTCCTATGACAAAATATGGCTATAAGGTGAATGCACCAATTTGTAAGTCGCTCTGGATAAGAGCATCTGCTAAATGACGTAAATGTAATGTAAATGTTGGAAGGTGAACCTTCGCCCTAGTCTGAGTTCCTGAGCGCTCTGGAGGAGGTTTTCATCAAGCATCTCTCTGTACTTTGCTCCGTTCATCTTTCCCTCGATCCTGACTAGTCTTCCAGTCCCTGCCGCTGAAAAACCTCCCCACAGCATGATGCTGCCACCACCATGCTTCACCGTAGGGATGGTGCCAGGTTTCATCCAGACGTGACACTTGGCATTCAGGCCAAAGAGTTCAATCTTGGTTTCATCCGACCATAGAATCTTGTTTCTCATGGTCAGAGTCCTTTTGGTGCCTTTTGGCAAACACCAAGTGGGCTGTCATGTGCCTTTTACTGAGAAGTGGCTTCTGTCTGGCCACTCTACCATAAAGGCCTGATTGGTGGAGTGCTGCAGAGATGGTTGTCCTTCTGGAAGGTTCGGCCATCTCCGCAGAGGAACTCTGGAGCTCTCTCAGAGTGACCATCGGGTTCTTGGTCACCTCCCTGACCAAGGCTCTTCTCCCCTGATTGCTCATTTTGGCCAGGCGGCCAGCTCAAGGAAGAGTCTTGGTGGTTCCAAACTTCTTCCATTTAAGAATGATGGCGGCCACTGTGTTCTTGGGGACCTTCAATGCTGCAGACATTTTTTGGTACCCTTCCCCAGTTCTGTGCCTCGACACAATTCTGTCTCGGAGCTCTACGGACAATTCCTTCAACCTCATGTCTTGTTTTTTGCTCTGACATGCACTGTTAACTGTGGGACCTTATATAGACAGGTTTGTGCCTTTCCAAATCATGTCCAATCAATTGAATTTACCACAGGTGGACTCCAATCAAGTTGTAGAAACATCTCAAGGATGATCAATGGAAACAGAATGCACCTGAGCTCAATTTCGAGTTTCATAAGCATAGGGTCTGAATACTTATGTAAATAAGGTATTTCTGTTTTTTGTTTTTGATACATTTACATACATTTCTGAAAACTTGTTTTCGCTTTGTCATTATGGGGTATTGTTTGTATAAAAAAATAAAAAATATATTTTAGAACAAGGCTGTAATGTAACAAAATGTGGAAAAGGTCAAGGGGTCTGAATGCTTTCCAAATGCACTGTAATTACAATGCAAATAATATTCAAGACCACCCATTTGAGAATGTAATGTGATTCTCAAATGTGAAGCAGAAATGTGAATGTACAAGTCTGCTTGTAACTTCCATTTGTCTGTGTGAGAGATCCCACTTTTCAGTGATTCACATAAGGTCCTGTTTTTACTGAGTCTGCCATGGTGGAAAGAGCATTATGGGCCAACTCAGGAGGTGTACATGGAAAGCAGACCAAATCCACATGCAGCATCTGTAGGGCTATGATCTGGCTTTTAGAAATCCACAGAAATCCACCAAGTTATTTTGTGGGGAGAATAAAAGATACCCTCAATAAAACCCTTTAGGTTTTCTCTTGATTATTTATTTGAAATGTGTGTCTGAGTTCTTTATCATTATAAAAACACCCCAAATATCCAAAGGCCTACATTTAGATCCCAGACTTGATCATAGTAGTGAATTATGGAGGTTAGCATTGCTTTAAGTTGTTGCTAAAGGAAAACAGCTTTCATGATAGTGCACCTCAAGGTCTGATCATTTTCTGTACTCTAAAAAGCCAATGTTTGTGGAAAAGATCCCTACTCACCATATACCGTAGCTTCAAATGTGGTCCTCTGTAGCTCAATTGGTAGAGCATGGCGCTTGTAACGCCAGGGTAGTGGGTTCGATCCCCGGGACCACCCATACGTAAAAATGTATGCACACGACTGTAAGTTGCTTTGGATAAAAGCGTCTGCTAAATTGCATTAAAACAAATAATTTAAAAAACTCTTCCCACAGAAAATGTCTCAGTATAGTGTAGCTTTTGTCCTATACTCATAACATTTGTCCTCCAAACCCAACTCATAAAATCACATAGCCTCCCTCTTTCCCCTTGACACGTCCCCATTGTTGTTGGAATTAAATCAACAGTTCCTACATGCAACTCTAAATAATCTCAGTGATTGCAATTGTTGACCTGCTACTATAGGTCTGTGCACAAGGCAAACTTGGTTTGAGCAAAGTTAAATCATGAGACAGTTGATTGGCAAACATGGTCTGAGGCTGCAGCAATTACTTCCACTTTCAGAAGTGTGGAAGCAGTGAATTCATCTATCAGAATGTTTTGACAGCAAATGTTCTGCTTCTCTGCACCTCAGTTTAATAACTGCTTTTTAATAACTAATAGTAAAATAACTCCAATTCCTAACGTCAAGTTGAAAGTGTTTGACAACTCAGAACCCTTAGGCCCCTACAGCTGTAGATGTTCTACATTCTCTTTAGATGTTATGCATTCTCTGTATATTTTCTGCATTCCAGTTCTCAGAATCAACAACAGGTAGAGTTTGTAATGTAGACCTAGGCCATTTCAGAGTAGGAGTGCTGATCTTGGATCAGTTTCCCTTTTAGATTATAATGAATAAGACATTATGACCTGATTATGACCTTTTCCTAGATCAGCACTTCTACTCTGAGACACTTTGTGAATACGGGCCCTTACCTGTAGAGCAGTCATCCCCAAAGAAGCCCTCGTCACAGATACACATTCCGTTTACGCAGGTGCCGTGGACGCAGTCAGGACTGCATTTCTGTTCGCTGCAGTCTTCGCCGGTGAAGTGGCTGAAGCACACACACTTCCCGTCCACACAGTGTCCCTTATCGTTGCAGTCGCCTGGGCACATCGGCTGGCTGCAATCGCTCCCCGTGTAGCCAGCAAGGCACACACACTTGCCATCCACACAGCGCCCGTTGTCGTTGCACTCATCAGGACAGGTGGAGATGGAGCAGTCTGGGCCTTCCCAGCCAGGGTTACATTGGCAGCTGCAGGTGTCATGCTGGTAGATCCCGTGGCCACTACAGCTAGTGTCCACACCTGTGGAAATGTAGAAGAAAAAAGACATTATGTGATATCTGAAGAGTCTTTACTGTAAGTGTCTGTGGACCAATCATTTTTCAAACAGTTTCCCAGTTTTGAATGATAACTTACAGTGGGGGAAAAAAGTATTTAGTCAGCCACCAATTGTGCAAGTTCTCCCACTTAAAATGATGAGAGAGGCCTGTAATTTTCATCATAGGTACACGTCAACTATGACAGACAAAATGAGAAAAAAAAATCCAGAAAATCACATTGTAGGATTTTTAATGAATTTATTTGCAAATTATGGTGGAAAATAAGTATTTGGTCAATAACAAAAGTTTCTCAATACTTTGTTATATACCCATTGTTGGCAATGACACAGGTCAAACGTTTTCTGTAAGTCTTCACAAGGTTTTCACACACTGTTGCTGGTATTTTGGCCCATTCCTCCATGCAGATCTCCTCTAGAGCAGTGATGTTTTGGGGCTGTCGCTGGGCAACACGGACTTTCAACTCCCTCCAAAGATTTTCTATGGGGTTGAGATCTGGAGACTGGCTAGGCCACTCCAGGACCTTGAAATGCTTCTTACGAAGCCACTCCTTCGTTGCCCGGGCGGTGTGTTTGGGATCATTGTCATGCTGAAAGAACCAGACTCAAAATCTCACGATACATGGCCCCATTCATTCTTTCTTTACACGGATCAGTCGTCCTGGTCCCTTTGCAGAAAAACAGCCCCAAAGCATGATGTTTCCACCCCCATGCTTCACAGTAGGTATGGTGTTCTTTGGATGCAACTCAGCATTCTTTGTCCTCCAAACACGACGAGTTGAGTTTTTACCAAAAAGTTCTATTTTGGTTTCATCTGACCATATGACATTCTCCCAATCCTCTTCTGGATCATCCAAATGCACTCTAGCAAACTTCAGACGGGCCTGGACATGTACTGGCTTAAGCAGGGGGACACGTCTGGCACTGCAGGATTTGAGTCCCTGGCGGCGTAGTGTGTTACTGATGGTAGACTTTGGTCCCAGCTCTCTGCAGGTCATTCACTAGGTCCCCCCGTGTGGTTCTGGGATTTTTGCTCACCGTTCTTGTGATCATTTTGACCCCACGGGGTGAGATCTTGCGTGGAGCCCCAGATCGAGGGAGATTATCAGTGTCTTCCATTTCCTAATAATTGCTCCCACAGTTGATTTATTCAAACCAAGCTGCTTACCTATTGCAGATTCAGTCTTCCCAGCCTGGTGCAGGTCTACAATTTTGTTTCTGGTGTCCTTTGACAGCTCTTTGGTCTTGGCCATAGTGGAGTTTGGAGTGTGACTGTTTGAGGTTGTGGACAGGTGTCTTTTATACTGATAACAAGTTCAAACAGGTGCCATTAATGCAGGTAACGAGTGGAGGACAGAGGAGCCTCTTAAAGAAGAAGTTACAGGTCTGTGAGAGCCAGATATATTGCTTGTTTGTAGGTGACCAAATACTTATTTTCCACCATAATTTGCAAATAAATTCATTAAAAATCCTACAATGTGATTTTCTGGAAAATAAAATCTCATTTTGTCTGTCATAGTTGACGTGTACCTATGATGAAAATCACAGGCCTCTATCATCTTTTTAAGTGGGAGAACCTGCACAATTGGTGGCTGACTAAATACTTTTTTTCCCCACTGTAGGTTATGTTCCTAAATAGTTTCAGATATAGTGTAGCTATTAAATATAGATGTGCTGTCAGATCTTATGGTGATGAACTGTACTGTACCTCCTGCTCCACCACCTTTGCCACCACAGCAGCCCTGGGAGCACTGACTCTTCAGGTGTTCCACCTCCTCCTCCAACCCGTTGACTCTGTACAGCAGAGACTTGAAGCGCTCCGACTCATCACAGTCACACTTTGGGGTCTTGAGGTTGATTTGGTGCCTGAAGACTATGTTTTTGTCCTCCTCCAGAGTAGGGCCCCCCTCCAGCTCTTGCAGACCTGATCCCTGGTCCTGCTGGGATGGGAGGGTCTGCAAGGCCAGTTTACAGTCAGGGCTCTTGGCCAGGTCAATCTTATAGATGTGGCTGAAGGTGACTCCTTTCTCAGCGGGGGCTGGAGAATCTTCTGTCACATATGTGGTATTGACAGTGCACAGTATGCCTATCAAGCAGAGGGCTCTTGTGAGCCAGTGAAGTCTAGTAGTCATGGCTAGATGGAAAAAGAAGAATAATTGGTGAAATTGATATTACACTTTTGACACAAAGAGCCCTTGGCACCTTTTTGGTCTATTATGTTGTTTTTTTCCCCAGAGAGAACATCACTTTATTGTACAAGGTTGATAAAGGCTGATGTTAAAGAAGTCACAGTCATTATAGTATAGGCAGACTATGTTTTACAAAAGGGACATGACGCATGTCGTAATTTCCAGCAGAAAGCCAGGAGTCATCACTCCAACTAAGCACGTTTTTATCCCACGTTCCTAACCATTAATTGTGCTCAGCCAGCCATAAGGGCTTCAAGGGGCATGGAACCCTGTCTTCCAAATGATGTCATGTTGACAGTGATGTCATCCAGCTTTTCAACTTTCTCGGAAAGAGAAATTATAGGCTATGCTATCAAAATAATGGGCCAAATGTATTTTTGAAACGACTTGGTTCAAACCTTTAAGGTGAATAAAAAGTGACCTCTTTCCAAGCGTGTTAAATTTAACCATTGCCTCTTTGGCACACAGTCATTTGAAAATGTAGCAATTTATAGTCGAGGTCTGAACTTGTGTGGTCTGTGGAAACTGAAAATCAAAATTAAGTGACTGTCTGCTCTGCACTCCACTAAAAGAGAGGCCATGGTGCTTGACAACTGGAAAATCCACACAGTAATAGCATACATGCTTAATTTACATTTACATTTTAGTCATTTAGCAGACGCTCTTATCCAGAGCGACTTACAGAAGCAATTAGGGTTAAGTGCCTTGCTCAAGGGCACATCGACAGATTTTTCACCTAGTCGGCTCGGGGATTAGAACCAGCGACCTTTCGGTTACTGGCACAACGCTCTTACCCACTAAGCTACCTTAATAAATAGCTTGGGTTACTTTTAAAGGAATGATGATTGGTCAATGGAATATGCATGTAGTGCAAAAAACACTAAAGGGATAGTTCATTGGGAGCACACAATGTAAAACTGTGAAATGACACAACCATGCACAAGTACTAGGCTAATTTAACCTGAGCAAAGATACTGTATATAGTACATGCACTCCCCTACGTATTTATTTGACCAGTAAAGCTAAAACTTGTAATTTGCCTCTATAATTCAGCATTTTGGATTTGAGACCAACTGTTTCAAATGAGGAGACAGGACAGAATGTCATCTTTTATTTGAGGGTATCTGTTTTACTGTTTAGAAATGAAAGCACTTTATGTATCTAGTCCCCCCATTTGAAGGTGTCATAAGTATTTGAACAAATTCACTTTGTATTAAAGTAGTCAAAATATTAGTATTTGGTCCCATATTCCTAGCACTTAATGACTACATCAAGCTTGTGACTGTACAAACTTGATGGATGCATTTGCAGTTTGTTTTGGTTGTGTTTCAGAATTTCATTTTGATGAGACACTTTTCTGACGTTTTGAACTGTATTTTTCAGTAACTTTGATTGTTGATGTGGACATTTTGTTAGAACCTTACATATTATGTGTGTGTAATAATATTTCACAAAATAATATTATTATGCGTGTCTGTGTGTGTTTGCACGCGCTGCACATTAGAAGAATTGTAAATCCATTGTGAAAACTTATGGAGTTTGCATTGCGAATTATTTGGATGAAATGTGTCCATGTATTGGTCTTTTAATGCCCCCTATCAGTTGTAACTGTGGATGCTACACAGTGGCGACCCGTCATTAGCTGTTTTGCATGTTATTTTGGCATTAATACTTGTCACATATCAGTTTGCAAACAATAATAAAAAATAATAAAAACATATTTGAGTTACTAAAGCCTCCATACAAACATGGTCTCTATTTTGCTTTCTTGAGTAAGGCAGCTCCAAAATGCAGGTGTTTCAGCCTAGCTCAGTGATTTCTGTGGTGGTGGGGCAGCCGGCGGAAAATACTGAGCGTAGGGGTTGGTAATGTTCTCTAGTTGCGCCGTGATTGGCTCAGTGTTCTATCACTCATGGAGACACTAGGTCACTGCCAAATCTAAGGTTAGATCTAGAAAATTCAAGCCCCTTGGGTGCTGCCATAGAGTTACATTATAAGTGCCCATCCAAGAAGGCTCAAGGTCATTGGCCACAGATAAAATGATGTCAAATCACATTATATCTACAGTAGCTTTGATTGGACTGATCATGTCAACATCATACTTTCAAAATCTTAGTTAGCAGTCATCATCATGAATCAAGTCTACAATCTACTGGCAAATTCTTTTTAATCCTTGTCATATGAAGGGAAATAATGAAGAGAAATTATAGATCAAACGTATCGGTGCTCATCGGCCATAAACATTACACAACAAGTTAGAAATCACAAATTCAAAAATGAGTGGTTTAGAAGGAATCAGTGGCTAACTGCAAGCATTGCAAAGCAATCATTAGCCTGCTATTCAGTGGAGTGGGTGTGTGGTCCCAATTCTGGGTTTAAGGATCTCTTTTCCAAGCTTAAAATTATAAACATTCAACATTGGCCATGCTGTCAATCCAGCATGATTTCTGCCTCGCTCAAAACAACTGTTAACTTGGAACTGGGAAATCTGACTTCAGTGAGTTCAAGACAACTGGGAACTCGGAAAAAAACAAAGTCAATTCATGATGACGTCAATGATCTTCAGGTCGTAGCTCTAGAAAGAGGCCTGAGTTCCCGACTTACAATTCTGAGTTGGATGACCGTTCAAAACGTATTTTCCCAGTCGGAGCTAGTTTTTTTCCAGCGTTCCCAGTTGTCTTGAACTCACTGAAGTCAGATTTCCCAGTTCCAAGCACCATAAATCCAGAGAATGCCAGACTTTGATGACAAAGTTTGATGACAAAATCGGTCCAAAAATCTATTGTATGCTGCTGCATAAATGATGTAATATGCCAGGGAGATATGTATACTGTAGCTAAGAAAGTTTTACTAAGTGTATGTTGTGTAGTAAGCTGTTAGTAGCCCATGTGCCTCACCCTAATAAATTGGTCTATTTTCCCATCTTAAATTTCGCCTAACTATTCTGACTTGGTGGTGCACATGTAGCCTATAACCTGTTTTAGAGAAATGTAATCATCTAATATTGTAAGAGCTTTCATTATCTGCTTATATGGCCCCTTTATTTATCCTACGGTTCTGACTTGGTGTACAGGGAGAACACTGTAAGAACGGCCCATGTTCTGAATTCTGTCGCTGTACATTTCAAAAAGTGCTGAACAAATAGTTATATTGACTACGTCCATTCTAGCGCGCTCATTAATGTCTTAATCGAAATTACGGATTGCCTCTTATCCGCTTGTCGTCCCTTTATGCCATAGTTTGTACATCTCAATTGTCAGTAGAAACCACATTTGTTTAAGTTCTCAACCCTCATGTGAAGAAGCAGCACCCTGTGATAGTGTCTGCAGATTTTGAGGTAAGATGGTCTTTTTTTTTTTTTTACCAAATTAGTTTTTGTGATGGCATCACCTGCTTTGTGGTTAGATTCACCAAAAATACAGTGTATCAGGTTTATAATGAGTGTGTGTGTGTGTGTGTGTGTGTGTGTGTATCTATATTTCATGTAAGTTAGCAATTGTAAAGTTCTAACATGTAGCTAAAATTGAAGCGAGCTAATGGCTGCAACGGTCAGGGTTAGTTGTAAAAACATGTCCAACATTCACTCACACACACACACACACCACTGTCTCTCTCTCTCTCTCTCTCTCAAACTCACTCACACACACATGCATTCTTTCAAACTGTTACATTTCACCCCAAGCCCTGTTACAACTGACCCGGGAGGTGGGTTAAATTGCAACATTTTACTCCTTGTATTTGAGACAAAGTCACACCTTGTCTGTTTGATTTAGAGAGAGAATTTCTATACCAATTTGTAGCAGACAGATGGAAGTTGTTGCTATCACATTTTTGAATATAGTAGCTCAAACAATCTAAATAAAATTGACAAAAATGCAAAAACTGTTAATACCATTCCCCAGTCTCCCTTACTTGCTGCCCATATGAGAGGTTTGGGAGAGAATGTGTGATCAACAAACGGTATGAGAGTATACAGTGGGGAGAACAAGTATTTGATACACTGCCGATTTTGCAGGTTTTCCTACTTACAAAGCATGTAGAGGTCTTTAATTTTAATCATAGGTACACTTCAACTGTGAGAGACGGAATCTAAAACAAAAATCCAGAAAATCACATTGTATGATTTTTAAGTAATTAATTTGCATTTTATTGCATGACATAAGTATTTGATCACCTACCAACCAGTAAGAATTCCAGCTCTCACAGACCTGTTAGTTTTTGTTTAAGAAGCCCTCCTGTTCTCCACTCATTACCTGTATTAACTGCACCTGTTTGAACTCGTTACCTGTATAAAAGACACCTGTCCACACACTCAATCAAACAGACTCCAACCTCTCCACAATGGCCAAGACCAGAGAGCTGTGTAAGGACATCAGGGATAGAATTGTAGACCTGCACAAGGCTGGGATGGGCTACAGGACAATAGGCAAGCAGCTTGGTGAGAAGGCAACAACTGTTGGCGCAATTATTAGAAAATGGAAGAAGTTCAAGATGACGGTCAATCACACTCGGTCTGGGGCTCCATGCAAGATCTCACCTCGTGGGGCATCATTGATCATGAGGTAGGTGAGGGATCAGCCCAGAACTACACGGCAGGACCTGGTCAATGACATGAAGAGAGCTGGGACCACAGTCTCAAAAGAAAACCATTAGTAACACACTATGCCGTCATGGATTAAAATCCTGCAGCGCACGCAAGGTCCCCCTGCTCAAGCCAGCGCATGTCCAGGCCCGTCTGAAGTTTGCCAATGACCATCTGGATGATCCAGAGGAGGAATGGGAGAATGTCTGATGAGACAAAAATATAGCTTTTTGGTCTAAACTCCACTCGCTGTGTTTGGAGGAAGAAGAAGGATGAGTACAACCCCAAGAACACCATCCCAACCGTGAAGCATGGAGGTGGAAACATCATTCTTTGGGGATGCTTTTCTGCAAAGGGGACA